GGGGCTGCTGCGGGAGGGGCCCGAGGCAGGCGCGGCCGGGCCGGGCGTCACCTCTTGGGCCCCGTGGAGGGTACAGGGGGTCGGGGCGGGACCCTCCGTGCAGGCACAGGGATGCTGAGGCAGGGCAGGGTGGTGAGGGGCCGGGGGTGATGCCAGGTGATGGGGTGGCTGGCGGGGGTCTGTGCGCCCGCTCTGAGGAGTCAGGCGGTGCCTCACAGCTCCCCATCGTGCTGCCCATGCTCACTGGCCTTCACAGCTCTGGTCTCGGTGCCGGGAGCCCAGCTAATGGCACGGGAATGAGGAGCGTGGACGGCAGTGAGGCTTGGTGCTGGTGCGAGGCCGCTGCACTGTCCCCGCAGGTCTGGGGGGAGCTGCTGGGCGGGGGACAGGGTGTCTCCACCCTGGCATCACCGCTGGCTTCTGCCCTTCAAACCTCTGCAGCATTTGCCTCCTGGTGCTGAATCGGTGCTGCCCTTTGCAAGGACAAGTGGTGGCACCTCAGGTCCCCTCCATGACGTGTTTGCATGAGAAGGAAGAGCTGGGGAGGAGTGAAAGCCCAGCCCAGGCAGCGCACAGGGGCCGTGGCAGCTTGGCTCAGTACCCAGTGGAGGTGAGGGAAGTGGGAATGTAGTACAGGAGATCAGGATGAGGATCCACAGTAGGGTTTGTTGGCTCGTGTCCACCTCTGGTGGGTGAGGGAGCAGCAAAGGAGAGGAGGTCTGGAGGATGCCCCTTACTCTCGGTAGGAGGATGTAAGTGTGTGACGAGCGGAGCGTGTCCCTGTGGTGGTGACACACTGGTGGCCTTGTGATTGGGCATACTGGGGAAAGAGGGAGATTACGCTGCTCTGAGAGCAAGTCAGGAGTAACATGAAATCATTAAAGTGTGATTTCTCTAGGTTTTTGGTTCCAGAGGGAGGCCTCAGCAGATACCCCAAAGGACATGCGTCCCTGGAGGAAAAGGGGAATGGAGAAAGTCACATTGCAAACTGGGCAGGGCTGGACCTGCTAGTGTGGCTGTAAGTGAACACAGCAGTACCTATGATCTAGCTTGATCTTGTTACGCCAAGCACTGTATAAACATGCAACAAAAGGCCTGGTTTTATCCCAAAGGGTTGGTACATTGTCAGCTTATTCAAAATGTTGCAGACACTTTACAAGATGTCTGCGAACGTCATAGAAGTTTATATTTTACAAAGGAAGGGTTTTAGCTTACTGAAGACCAAAGGAGCTGTTACAGAAAGAAGATTTAAAGGATGTGGTTATGGGTGGGAAGCTGCAGAAGCAGAATTTTCACGTCTACTATTACCATCTGCAACCACATAGTGGCAACCACAGCATGCGCCATCGGTCTGGTTCAGGCGGTCACAAGATAACAAAACCAGGTGGAAGGCGGATCTAGCCTGTCTCGGCATGATGAAAGAACAGCACCAGGCTCCAAGGATGAGTGAGTGGCTCTGGCCAGGGCTTCTCTAGGGCCGATTTTGTACCTGAGGAGGTACAGAGATCCCGCCTACTTCTTGTCTGAAACTTGCATAAGATTTATCCCTGATAGACTGGTCACTTGACTGAAAAAATGTTTTTTATTGTGTTAGGACTTTATTGCATTAGAACAGTATTATGCTTGCTTTATAAATTTAATAGAATGAAAATACTATGCTCAGAGGAGTTCTGAGCAGTATTTCAAGTACATTATTTTTTAATTTCCTGCATTTCCAGGTTTGTGCTTTCAGTAAAGTGTCATTATAATTAAGACTTTGAAATCCCTGATTTTTTGGGGGCTGTTGTTTTTAAAACTGTTTCATCTTGATGCTGCTGAGCAGGTTTATTTCTGCAAAGGATGAGGCTCAGGCAACTTTCTTCCCACCTCCCCAGAGAGAAGGCGCTGTAGGAGGCTCTTCTATTTCATAAACCACTGGATAGTCTTCAGACTTGTGTTAGTTTAAAATGTGAACCGATACAAAGAAAACTAAACACATTAGTAGGAAATTGTTTGCTTTTGCAGTGGAGAGGAAAGGCTGGAACTGGTCCTTGGAGCGGGTCCTATGTGGGCTCAGGGTGAAGGTTGTGCTGCACGCAGCAGGATTAAGATCTTATTTTTAGACTACTGCTTATCTAAATTCTGTCCCAAAGAGCTTTGCAGAGTTAGGCTACAAGTAATGGCTGTGAGGTGTGTAATCCGGGGCTTTAAGGGAAGAAGGAAGGATTTGTACTCGTTGCCAAGTTTTATGAAGAGGTTAGGGAAATCCATGAAGTGACATGGGCAAAGGTATTCGTCCTGGGGTCAGGAAAAGGTTTTTCACCAAAGCCTTTTGTGTAAACCAATCCTAATAAAGTAATGCCTTTAAAAAGGCTCTTAATATCTTCAGAAATGAAAATACTTGCTGGTGGATGGGACAAAGAGCCAAAGGCTTTCCAAGATCTGAAAAGAGAAAGAAATCATCTGGTTTTGTCCCTCCCCTGTCAATAATATTAAACTCATCCAAAGATACTAAACTGAGAAGGCAAGTCCCTCTCTGGTGGTACTTTCAGACTGTCAGCCCTGGGCAGCTCCAGCTGGACAAGCTCCTTCCAATCTCCCTTGGTCAGATCCTTGGTCTCGGTGGGATAAAAGAGCAGGGAGTGCTTGGAGTGACCTCTGGCCCCAAACAGTGCACTCCTGTATTTCTAGACAGCTGCATTTGTATTTTGTCTATTCATTTAAAATTATGTACGTCCTTCTTCTGTCTGCCCCAGGTTAACTGTTTCTAAGTTCCTGTTCTGTGAAAGTGGAGAGATCGGACACTTGTCCTGTCTGAATTGAGCAGCATGTCTTGTTCTAATAACCTGTGGCACTGCACTGCCTTTCCGTGGATCACTTTCTGTTGTCTCTGTCAGCTAAAGAATGGCTGGTGTAAAGGTCCCTTGGTCCTAGCTGGCAGGATGGAAATGGGACGTTCAAACGTATTGAAAATAGGAAGAGGAGTTAAGCATATAGTCAATTATAAACAGCCTTGCATGTAGTAATTGTGTTACTTCAGTTTCCCTCTTTGGAGCAAGTAGGATCTATGTATCCTCATTTTCAAAAATTTCCAGAGTGCCTTTGAGATCAGGCAATACCTATTACATGCTCAAAGGCATCCCCAGCAGGCCTGCATCGCTGCTCAGCTCGGGGGCGGCTCTGTGGGGCAGCAATGGAGGTGCGGGGGCAGCGGTGGGGTTTGGCTCCGTGGGTGGAAACTCAGCTCCCTGGTGAGCCACGGCTGAGGCTGAGGGCTGTCAGTGTTCACCCATGTAACTCCTGAGCTGTGGCCAAATGAGAGTGCAGCCTCCCTGGCTCCTCTGCCTGCTGTGGTGATTCCTGGCAGAGCTGCCTGGCTCCCCTTCCCTGTGCTCCTCTGGCTGCTTGCTGTGACAGCAGGGAACAGCATCAAGACTTAGAGCAGTCTTGCTGAGAGTGGGGATATGGTGTATTTGGACACTGCGTCCTCTCCCTTGCTTTCAGCTGACAGCCTGGGAGCATCCTCTGGGACAAAAAAAATGCAGCTGTATTTTGGAAGTGGTCCCTACACTTCAGTGTGTGGAGCAAGTGGAGAAAAATACAGGAGAAGGTGATCAAGGATTCAAAAAGGGGAGCATTGGACATTGGCCTGCGTACTACAGAGGCCAAAAAGGCAGCAGAGGTGGGAAGCTGGCCCTGTAACTGCAGCAAGGCCAAGGTTACCTGGCCGCTCGATCTTGTGTATGCCCAGGTCGGAGCTAGGAGAACGGGGCAACCCCTCCCCGATCAGGTGCTCGTCATGGTCCCTCGCAGGCATGGGTTTGTGCTGTTGGGTAAAGAGCAGGACCAGGGAACTGAGCCAGCTGAAAAATAGTTTCCCTTTCCTCCTGTTGAATTAATTTTCTGAGGGATTCGTCTTCAGGTCTGGCTCACAAGACAGTCGGTGCAGAGGCTGGTGCCAGCACAGGGTGGAGGGCAGGGGCAGCTGAAGCAGGGGGAAGGTGCAGCCATGCCTTTGAGTGGCAGCTGGATTTCTTCTGGATTGCAGAAACAGCGTAGCCCAGGAAAACACTGTGGGGCAGGGCTCTTCGCCTGCAGAGGATGTGATGTGGAAGGCTGCAGTGTCTGGCTGGGAGAAGGCCTCCCTGCAGAGGTTGCACTTACCATAATCTTTTTTTGGCCTTGTGGTCATCAGAGGAAAGGTTTGACTTTGTCTTTTGCTGCTCCTATTCTTGTAAAGCACTGGGTGGATGTTCCCAGGGCCGCGCTAGCTGCTGCTTTGAGCCAGAGCTCAGCACGGCAGGACTGGAGGTACAAAGAAGCCGTGTCCTGAGGAGTACAGCGAGCTGGGAGCGGCGCGGTGCAGCACTGAGCATTGGATGCAGGAGGCATTGTGCGGTTTGTGCCAGCTGGGTGACCAAGTGCTAACGTCAATCCATGTGCAGGCTTGCCAAAGCAGAACGTGCGTGCACTATGCAAAGGGGTGTTACAGCACCAGCCTCCTGATAAGATTCTTCAGGAGGTCAGGTTTAGTGGCACCGTGACCTTCATGAGGCAGTTAACCGAGGAGTGATGTGGCTGCGCTGCTGCAGCGGCATGAGCTGCTGCAGGAGAGCTGGGGCCTGGGCCTTGCAGAGCCTGGCCAGGGGCGAGGCTGGCTCCGTCAGCCACCTCTACCATCTGGACCAGCCACCGTGTAGGGGTGGCAGGCCCTGGCTCTGGACACCACAGCCTCAGGAGATGCTGTGATCAGTGCTCTGGGATGCACGAAATTTGCCAGTGGCACTTGGTGGCAGGCTGCTGCTGGGATCCACAGCTCCACACTGCAGGCAGGAGTGGGCACAAACTAGAAGGACCAGGACCACCTGGCTGCTGTGCAGCCTGGGAAAGGTGTCAGTGAGTGCTGGTGAGGGGCTCTGCCCCCCCAGAAATTGCACTTTCACCATTGGCTTTTCTTAACTTGAGCAATCTGTGCACTTCTGGCAGGTGTTCATTGCTCCAAATTTACTCTGCAAGCGATGCCTCCAAATCCAGTTGGGAGTGGGGCATGGTTGGGCTGTGTGTGACATCTGCAGTGCCATTTGGCTGTTGTGTTCTGCAGAAGGACACAGTCCATCCCTGAGTAAGGTTCAGAGGTGCCAAAAGCTAAGAGTGATTTCCATAAGCCAGAGAATGGGAACTTGCCTGTGGGCAGGAGTGGGTGGGCTGGTGGTGACTGAGGGGCCGTCCCTGCCATGAGTGGCTCATTGTGCAGAGCAGTTGGTGAGCACCACGTTTTGCAGGCAGGAGAGGTGAGGCTGGGGGTCTCCCTGCACATGCCGCTCCTGCCAGAGTCCGGGCCACTCCCGTTTCTGCACGGGGTGCAGCAGATCCCATGGCTTGGGAGCATGCCAAGGGAGAACAAGTCTGCCCCTGCTCAGGCTAGCAGGCAGGGATGTTAGCAGTCCTCAAGGATGTTCAAGGACAGGGTCCTGGAGGCAGCTGCTAATGGATGCACGTGGCCAGCGCAGCTGTGCAGCAAGCTGGTGGGAGGGGTAGGCATCGGTGTGGGACGGGGCTCAGCAGCAGCCTCAGGCTTGTTTAAAGGACCGAAGTAAGCCACAGTGCCTGTGGGGTGACACATCAACTAGATTTTTCCTCCTCTGGGGAATGAGAAGGGTTTGCGCACACAATTTCTCAAGCTATAAACTTCCCCCTTCTGGCAGGACCCGATTCTGTGGTGCTCTATTCAGTGTTGACAGTCTTCTGGTTGTTCCGTGTCGGCAAGAGGAGCTGCAGCAGATAGTTTGGCAGACGTGGGCAGTCCTTGTGCTGACTAGGATCTCTCCAAGGGTTTCTTCCAGTTAGGTATGCTGCTATGCTGTTCTTGGTATCTAAGAAGATGCAAGCTCCTACCAGAGCCTCTCCCACTGCTGGACCTTGAGGCAGTTGCTCTGGGGTCTGGATTCTCAAATGTCTGCTAAAGGCTTCAGCACCTCCTGCACTGGGAGCACAAACAGGGTCTCCCCCATGTGCTGCCTGTTTTCACAAAAACAAGCACCTCTGAGGTCCTGACCCTTCTGTCAAATATGGCTGAAATGACAAGTGAGCCCCAAAATTGTCCAAGGCAGGACAAACAGGTAGAGGCAGTGTGATTGCACAAGTCTTTTCTAGAAGGAGCACAAAGGGAACAAATACCTTGCACTGCACTGAATGACCTGCAGAGTGACGTCAGGCTGTGCTTTAGGACACGGTGTTTCCATGAGTTTGGGTCTGAAAAAGGCAGGTGCTTAGACACATCTCAAGTTCCTCTCTTTGTTGCCCTGGTCTGCAGGCCCAGCTGGGGGTCCCAGGGGTCCCTTACCCAGGGGCAAAGTGGCTCTCCCAAGATCACAGCATTTACTGAAACGCACCTGGGCCCCCATCCATCCTCAGCAGAGGGATTTTCTATATGCTGGACCTTTTCTGCTAGGCTTTTGCACCTGCCAGAGGCTCCTCTTTAGGCTGACGCTTTGGGACCAAATACTGGCTGTGGCTGTCACACCTGTGGTTCTGTCAGTGATCTTTCACCATCCACTTGCCGAGACCTCCAGCATTTGGGACAGGCAGCTGTCACCCCACAAGTTCCCAATGGGCTGTGGGGTGACATGGCTGGTCAATATGGCTGCTGGCTGGCTTGGCGGCGCAGTCAATATGGCTGCTGGCTGGCTTGGAAGTGCCCAGAACTGCTTGGCATCCTGGGCTGGGCTTCAAATGAGAGGCTTAACTGGCTGCTCAGCTCCTCCAGGGACACCCTTTGACCTTCATTTAATTGCTTTAGTGACAGCAAGCACACAGAAAAGAACATCTTTGACAACCTCCCAGGGTCCTTGATAATCCTAAAGTGATTGAAAGCAGGGGTGGAGGAAGGTGTTGCAAGCCTCCATCAGAGCAGAGTTGCTGCCTGATCATGCTGCTGCAGACATGCTGGAGCCCCTGCTCCTGCCAGCTGTGTCTGGGGGCCATGGGCATGCTGCCCTGGGGGGAGCTGGGGGCATCAGGGAGGCTGGGAGAGATGGTGGCATCGTTTAAGGTCTTGCCAGAGGAGAAAAGCACCTGGACAAGAGAAGGACATTCTTGCAAGAGGAAACGTAAGTGGCACTTACACCTGGGTCTTCTTGTGGTTTTCTGCAGAGTAATGCAGGTTCTTTTCAGCCATCAACACTGAAGTTTGTGGCTGGCACTGTATCTGCTTGAAAGCGGTGTTCCCAATGGGTTGCCTGTCTGGTGTTTGTTTGCCGTAATGATGTGGACACTGGGGCCACTGAACCATCCGTCTGGTGTTGATGGGGCTGCTTTGTGTGTTGTTCAACTGGGTTGGGCCTGAGCACAGGGACAGCACCTCTCTGCTTTGACACCTGCTGATGATCGCTCGATAGCTTGCAGCTTCCCTGCTAGCTGTAAGAGCAGACAGCTGCTGGTAGGGCTGTTCTGCGTGCTGCTTGTTGCAGGGAAAATGATCCGTGCTCACGGGTGAGGCAGGACAACATAACAGGGTGCTCTGTGGAGCGTAGCTGGTTATGAGCTTGGCCTCACACGGGTACGCAGCCTGTGAAGGGGTGTCTGTGTGCTGAGAAAAGCGAAAGGGGAGAAAGGAGCTGGGGTTCTCCTCTTACCTTAGCACTGAATAGGTTGCTCTTGATGGACATTGTAGAAGGAGCAGGCAGGAGGGAGGGCAGGGAGAGCAGGATAGCTGACTGGGCAGCAAGCCGGGCCAGCTATACCTGAGGGACTGACCACCAAAGTAACTGGGGATGCATCCGCATCCTAACGTGAGGTTTTGGTCATGGGAGCTTCACCCCGCAAATGGACTTGGCTAGCCGACCTGTTGGATTTGCTGAGATTGCTGACACATCTGCCCTGTGAATGGAGTTGATTTTAGTCCCTGTTAATCCCTTTCCTGGTTTCCCCTAAACGAAATGGAGCCACGGAGCCGTGGGTACCCAGGGCACAGCCTGACCGGCAGCCCTGGGGTTCCAGTCTGCTGACAAGCTCCTGATGCCACATGTGCAAATCTGCTTGTCCCCACTGCATTTGTGTTGTTGGTCATAAGGAAAGTGTGCCTGAAATGGTCACCGACTTGAGGGAGGAGTTTGTAGCCCGAAGTTGTAGCCTGACTTGGGAGTACACCTGGGCTGGGCAGCTCTGCAGGTCGCTGCTGCCCTGAATCTCAGTGCAGTAACTGCCCAGCCAGCTGCTCTCAGATCCTGTGCTGCAGTGGAAGGGCACTTCTGAAGATGGTTTCTCATTGTACAGCTGTGTCTTAGCAACCGTGTTTACAAGATAGCAGTAAATGGGCAGTAAATATTCTTAAAGTCAGGTATCTAGAAGCCATTAAGAGCCTTAACAGCTAGTTATGTCTAAATGCTGTCTTTCTGTACTAGAAAGCAGCTTTGAAACTGCGTGTTGTTGTGATCTGCAGAACCTACCTTTCACGTGGTGAACATGACCCCTGGACATCCCAGAGAGAAGGGATTTCTATTGCTTCCCTTGTTGGCGGTTGTCATGTAGAAGTACAGGGGGCATAAGACATCAGTCTGGGGCCCTGGGGAGATCTGGGCAAAACTTGTGGTCTGTAGCAGCTAGATGTTGCTCTCCACACGTCAGTGCCCTGTGCCAGCTCTGATGGAGGGGGTCTACGGTGCTTCAGGGGAAAAGCGTCTGTGACACCCCTAAAATGAAGTTTCCTGCTGTATGCAACCAGCCATCTTTGCTCCACCTGATTTTGTTCTTATTGGAGGAAGCTACTCTGGCTGGTTAATTCCTCTGCAGAGGGGATTTAAGGATCATCACCCAGGA